TGATCAGGTGGTATAGGAACTGGTATTGACTTTTGACCATTTGGTGGTGTTGTAGAAAGTACACCTGTGGCTGGACTATATGGGCATGGTTGTTGTCTCCTTGCCTTCCTCCACCAAGGTTTCTTCAAAGTCCAATGCTTTATCCCTGTCAGTTTCCTCTGGGATTCCATCCGTGTTGGTGTTCCGGGGCTCCTCTTTCTCTCCACCTTTTTCCACTGGTAACTCGCAGTCGCTGTCCATAGCTGCAGGAAGAAAAGGCGAGAGGAGGATCGCTGCACTGTCAGATGCAGGAGTTCTCCCCCAAATGTTTTTATACCATCATCTAAGCCATATAGTATTTTACAATCAAATAAATTAAAAGTGTATTAAATAAAAAAGTTACAATCTATCTCAAAAAGTTCACTATCCTGTCAAAGACTGAGGACCTTACAAACGATACCATATTCCCCTAGGACCACACAGGAGCTTTCTCTTTGTTCCCAAACCTGTTGTTACGGGTACTGGGAGACTCAAGAACACACGTGCACACACCCCATCTACCTGTGGCCCAAATAAGATCAGTAAGAAAGGAGTATGGTCACTGCTTGCTAGTTCCACAGAGACATATTCACTACAGAGATGTAACACAAATAAAAATATAACAGGGGAATAAAAAGACTCTATGGTCTCTTCCTGGTAAGACACACCAAGATAAGCGATTAAGAAACAACAGGTCTTAAAATGGCATGCAACAGTGTTGAGTAACAAAAAAAAAAGACCATCCACCTCCAAGAAGTCTTCCACCAAAAACTTAACATATATTTAGGGTCCAGCTTTGCCACTGGGCTAAAAGACTGACTCCTGGTGTGGCGCTGTGGGTTAATACACTGGACTGCAACATTGGTTTGAGCCACAAGGTCAACCGTTCAAGCTTACCAGCCACTCCTTGGAAATCCTATTCAGAGTCGCTATGGATCAGAACTGACTTGACAGCACTTAACAACAACAAAAGACTAAAGTCCACTAAGAGGGATGGTTCATATTGGACAAAGTTACAAATATAAGCAACTGATTTCTGCATTCAATCTCTTTTCCAGAGCATTCCTCACAAAAAAAGAAAGAAACAGCTAATACAAGTACCTTGTCAAGATTAATCTCTCTGAGATGATCATGCTTTCAAAATGCTGTCATAGCCAGCCCATCCCCTCTGCCAATCACAGGAGACTCAAGATAAATGGAATTTCTTTACTGGAGGTTTCATTGATCTGGGATCAGTGAAAGATTTCATTATAGACATTTCTCAAGATAAGAATTTTAGGACTCATCAGTGTTTTGTTGTTTTTTTCCCATTACACTTCTTTGTAACTACATTAAAAATCCAAGCAATTCAATAATAGGTGGTTAACCCTTTTAGTCCACTCCTAAGTAAGATAGACAAATGTCTGTCTATAAAAATGACCATGACACACAAAGGCTGGCAATGGTGTTTATGCCCATGGGTTCTTCAAAAGATCACATTTCTAACCTAGTGGGTATACAGCACTCAAAAATTGATATGCTTTCTAAACTATCTTTGTTATACTCTGACCCAGCAACTACAGCTTTCTTTTACATCCTAGGCAATTTTGCTCTGTAACAATACAATAGCCTTTCAGCCTTTTAAAAACTGCAATCTAGAGCTTGCTTTGAGAGCACGGAACTGAGTCCGTACTTCTCATTTCCAGCTTGCCGTCATTATGGCACAGGCATGCAGACTGCAACAGTACCTCATTTCTAGGTATAAAAAGATGCTGAGACAGCACATCATAATCTTAGTTTTAGAACTTTAGGCGATTATACAAATGTCTTTTAATGTAAACCAGAAACTATAGCTAGGCTTCTTCAAGGTATCAGGAATAAGGTTTAACCAAATTGTTGTTTTCCTAACACCTGTTTACCCTAGGTAAACGGCACTTTCAAAGTAATTTTTTATCTTGCTTATTATTCTAAAGTTATAACAATGCATATAAACCTTTCATCAGACTAGAAAAGTATCCAAGTCAAAATTATTAGGTAACATTTATTTTTCTTCAACCAGAAAATTTTAATGTATTTAATTTTATTATAACATTAATACACAAGGAAAATACTGCCTCAGAGAGATACAGAAACACAATAGATTTCAACAAGTAAGTACAGTATTCTTTGTCAATCAAAAAATCTCTGAGCAGGTGGAAGAACATTCACTAGTACAAAAATATTTTTTTTTTTAATAGAAAAGTTGGCACAAAGTCTAACTTTTATAACTTTGTTCCTTACTGCTATCTGCTTTAATTGAAGAGCAAAATCAGAGTTGAGGGACCAGGTGATAAAATGTTTTTAATACACTCAGACCTGACCTTTTCTAGAGACTACCAACAACATGCTGAATTTTACAGAAGAATTTCATTCCTATAGTGTAAGAATACTATTTACTTACATTTTAGTTTACATTACATACAAATTACTGAGATCTTAAAAGTACCAACCCAAGCTTATAGCATGAAAGTAATTTTGCTATAACTCTTCAATATCTCTACTTACTATTTAATAGAAAAATAAAGTTTTCCAAAGCTCAAAGCAGCAGTCACCATAATATTTCTCTGACAACACAGGAAACTTACCTTGATATATTAAACAAAAAGTCCAAGTTAATTTTCAAAAACCTTTAATCAAATGTCACCCATTTTAAAAGAGTTCTATTAGGTTGTCAGATCTCTCCAGATGTTAATTTCTCAGGAGAACATCAATGTTTGAAATCCTAAAACAGTTCATTTGCTAGTTATTTAACATACACTTATGAGAAGCATGTAAACTGTACCCCCTATATATTTGGATTACAATAATTAAAAAAAAAAATTCATAGAGGTTACACAAAAAGCACCTACAAAATTTAAAAAAAAGATTCACAGTGCACTGCACCTTGGAACATATAAGGTTGAAGCATAATGTTTAAAAAGTGAATTCAAAGACCAATTTTACCCTCAGACAAAACATAATGAAGTCAACACTACTTACTACTCTTTTCATCTAGCTTGTTAAAATGCAGCACACAGTAGAAGTAAATTATTGCATATTCATCATACTCCTTTATCACTTGATTTCCTCAAACCATGCTAAAACTTCTCAAAGGAGAAATTACGTTTCTGTGCTAAGCATGGCCTTTCTCAAGGTAATCTGAACACTGAGAAATTAATACACAGGTTCAAGGGAATAAGTACAACAGATGTACATAAAATAGGTACATCCAACGTATACATATTCTGCATAGTTAATTCACATCACATACATAAGCTTGAACTCACATCTTTTTAACTTTTATCTCAAACTGTCAAGAGAGCTAAAAGTCTAAAATTATCATAATCCCATCCCAACAATATCCTTATATTTGTTCCACAGTGCATTAAATGAAGCAGCACAGCAGCAATGACACTTGACCATAGTTAAACTACCAGTAATTGAAACGAGATAATTTGTTGGTTCTTAAAGAGGCTCAATACCATTAAAGGCCATACTTCTGGTAACTAATCTCTTTTGCTGTAGTATTGAGAACTAAAGAATCAACTCTAGGCACCAGAAAGACTGACCAAAGACTCAACTAAGAAAGAAAGCACACGCACACATACACAAATTAGATGGTTTCCAGGTATAAAAACAAGTGAGAATGATTTACCTGCCAGGCAAAGTAACATTTTGACAGATATCTGGAATGCTGGGACCAACTATAAATATGGCTCAAGGAGACCCACGCAAAGCAGCTGTATTTCTGGAAATAATAAGAGCTTTCAAACACAACCATATAATGCATTTAAAAAGTCACAGAAGGATTCATAAATTTGTCACATTACAAGATGCAGGATTGTAGATAGCATAATCCTAAATGCACTGCTAAAATTGTGAATTCTCCTGCTTAGCACCAAGAAGGTGACACTTTCATTAATAAATAGAATTTCTCCTTAAAAACTAAGCCACTCCAAAGCTAAAGAAAGCTAACGCAAACTAACACCAAGTGAAAGTCTTACAATAGCGGCTTCCATTAAACGTCCCACTGGGTTGAACAGAGGCCCTTTTAAATAGGTTACATATGCAGAATAAAGATTTCTACAGTAACATTTACAAGCAGAGATATATTTTGTGGATACCACACATAAAAGATTTTTAAAAGCCACATTACAGATGCACCTGCACATATGTTCGCACACCTCCCCACAAAGAAATCGCTCTGATGAGGTCAGATGCACCCAAAATACTAATGACCCTTTAAAGCTCTGATGATTGTCCTCAATTATAAGTGAAATCTTTCTTAGGATGTGCATTACCACCCTTATTTGGAATTAAGAATCCTGAAAGGACAAGATGCATTCGCAGGAGTGAGTCACGTGTGTTACTTTCATGTACTGATCCTTCCCCTATTGAAATATTTTGTATGTGGTTTAATAGCATACCCTTTTCTCCTCTCACTCCAGGACTTTCATCATGCCAATAAAAATGTATCATTCTCTGCTACTACTGCAAACTGGAACCTAATACATCATCAGTTTCCACATATCAGCCAGCATTGAGGTGTAATGAAAAATCTAGTAATGTCAGTTTTACATACACATTTACACTATAACAAGAAAATTTCACAACAATAAAATTGTTTAACAATACTAAAAAGGATTGGAGGCAGGATGGTAAAGACATGACCAAAGTAGCAGCAGGGTCCCAGCCTCCATGCCTCTCACCAGCTGTCTCACTGGTTTCCTGACTGCATACAGCACAACTCAGTGATAGTATCACACCCATCTTAACTCAACCCCTCTCCATGTTACAGGCTTTGTCCTTTAATGAGGTGCCAATGAGAGTTCATTTTTAACATGAACATCATATCCCAGATGCTGTTTCTAAATAAAACCCTTTAACAAGACTCTAAGTAAAGGAGGCTTAGAGAGTCTAATTAGTCAGAAGCAGATACACGCACAAAATACCACCTAAGCAGATGACCAGCAATCTTGACTCTGTGATACTTTAGCACAAGTGTTCGTTTAATAATTGTGTATTTTAAGGTTTTTTGTTTGAAGAATGTCAATGTAAGTAAACTACTATTGCAATCACTATAATGGATGGCTACTTCAAGATGACTCAAACACTTTTCTTAACCACAATGCAAAATAAAGTCCACAATCACACAGAAAGAATGTCCTCAAAAAAGCAACTGAAATTAGCCTAAATACTGAACAGGTACATCTGCATAAAAGTTTATAACTGCATTTACAGTGCAAACTCGTGTTTCTTGCCACGTTCTCCTCTGCACACAGAGCATTCTCTTCTCTTCAGACACATCACTGCCTCCCTGCATTTCCTTAAAAACCTGAGAAAGGTAAGGCTTGAAGAGACACACACTCAAATGCAACAGGCCTCTGATCTTGATACTTCCATAACACATTTGCTGTTATCAAAGATCCAAGATTTTCATTATGGCATTATGATCAAACTTGAAACTCAAAAATGTTCTGGATGAAAATGGAAATTTGCAATGTCCATTACATGCCACAGACTGTCCCTCGGCATGGTCTAGCAAGTGGTCTTCACCAGAGCAAGGTAAGTCATACACAGCGGCATCTGTTTAAAAAACAAAATTGGCTCATTAATTTAGAAAAAGTATCAAATACTGCCCTCCATCTTCTCTTATAAAGAAACTCACATAGATTATAAGTTTATCTTCCCATACTCTGAACATAACCTAAATAGAACCACCAAGATAACTTCCTTTTTCTAAACCAGGTGATGTATTATTACTTCTATATTAACTTTCAAAATCTTAATCTCAGCCTTTAAGACCCCTAACACTTGATTTCAGAAGAAGCATGAGTTTGTTTTCCTCCTATACTTGTATTTTGTGCCAACATAATGGGAACTTCTTAACAAGTCTAAAATGTAAGCACTGTACAAATTGCTATTAAAAGAACTGTAAAGATTACAATTCTGAAGTAATAAAGTTGGAGCTTACCAAGTCTTCAGGGAGTATATCAAACTGAAGAAAAATCCATTATTTTCAAAATATAATATATCCCAATTCTACTTTATCCAGGCTTTTTTCCCCCTCCTTTTTAAATAGAACAAGGACCTGACCAGGAAAGGAGGTTTCAAATGGACAAGAAAAGGCTGAGGAAGAAAGGGTGAAATGGGGAATTCCAGGACCAAAGTCCTTTCATACATCTTTCACAAGACTGAGAAGTCAAAGATTTACATATATTCACATTATGTCCAACTAAGTTGGATATACTATGTTATACTCTGCCTTCTTTAATGTTTCAGAATCTATAGAGATTTAAAAGATGTTGTGAAATAATTAATTTCTAAAGGTAGGTTCATTAGATTCGACTATTAGCCAATCATTTCTCCACCATGCAAGGTGGTCAAAATGTCTGCTTAAGATGACATCTACTCCTATAACTTTTCTACATGAAACTCTAATGATAGTTCCTAGTTCTTCGTATTTATTCTTAACTTTCCACAAAAGAGTCAAAGAATCTTTTAAATTTTATGTTAAAATAGTTTTTAACCTTAAATCATAGTAAAGATTTCAATAAAAGGAATTTAATCATTTAACTTCTCATTTCTTATATATATATGAAAGCCTTAAATTTAGATGGTATTTATGTATCTACTTCAAGGGAATTTTCCAAACAAAGTCACAGGCCTATTTTTGATGAGTAAGAGAAGCTGCCAAGTGTCATCTTTAATAAAATCTATTCTTAGCACCACCTCAAAAAGTTGGCCAACATTACCTCCAAAACAAGAGAAAAATGTTTCCTCCTCTGATGTTAATTTTTCCCCTACAAATATGCAATGAAATAGCTTCAGCTTTGTAATATTTAGATGTTTTTATTTTAACCCTTAAGCAATTATTATTTATAATACCCATACATAGCACCAAGGCTTGATAGTCACAAAAGAAACAGCACATTAGAAGGGAAAATAATTTCATTTGATATTTCAAATGATCAAATAATTCAATTATCTTTATTTTAGCCAATTGCATATTAAGAGAATTTGATCATATATATCGACTCTCTGTAAACTACATGCTCTGGTCGTGTAGTGGTTACGAATCGGGCTGCAAACTGCAAGGTCAGCAGTTTGAAACTACCAGCTGTTCACAGGAGAAAGATGAGGCTTTCTGCTCCCATAAAGATTTACAGCCTCGGAAACACTGTAAGGGTCGCTATGAGTCAGAACCAACTCCACGGCACATAACAACAACAACATTAGAGAATTAAAGTTAGGCCAAAACCAAACTAAATCTCAAAAGAAGAGATTTTTAAATGACAGAAAATTGACTTGCCTGTTTCAAAATTATCCTGCAGTTTTCGTGGATGAAGTCTTTTTTCACATTTCTATTGAAAACCAAAAACATAGCACATTATTTTCAGTTATTTTACAAATCAATAGAGTATCAAATTTCCCAGGAAAAACTGAAGCAGCATTATAACCATCATCCCGATTTTCTCCTGGGTAACTTTCCTTGTATTTTTATTTACAAATTCCTAAACTTTGATGGGGGGGTGGAGTGGGGTGGGTGGTGTTTCATTACATTTCTATTGTAGAAAAACTAGCATTAAATCTCTCAACCCAGAGATAATTATTATTACCATTCTGGTATGTATCATTCCCAACTTTTTTTTCTTTGAACTTTTAAGTGGCTGAAACACTACTATAGGGAAATCAACTTTTAAAATATAAAAAATATATATTGAACATATTTCTTTTTCAATAAACATAAATTTATATCTTTTTTTTAAGCGCTGCTTTTTTATGTTTCATTGTAACTTATGTGATAGTTTACATGGGAGAACATTAGCTTTACATTCATCCTATCATATATTGTTTCATTGCCATGGTTACAATCCCCTCCGTGCATCATCAACCAACCAAAGGGTACACCCTGCAAGCCTTCTGCCCAGGACAGTCAGCACACAGCCCCCTCTCCCTCTCCGGGTCTATAGTCCCCAGCTGCTGCATCTCTGCCTCCATCTCTGGTGTCACTGCTTCTCTGAGTATGGTCCACTCTCTGTTCTTCTCCCTTGGTGGTCCCAAGGACCTCCACTCCTAGACTGCAAAGTTAATCACTCCCTTCCTTGCTACAAAATGTCTTCTTTTACATTTCCAACCCTCACAATGAGTCCTAATAACAATTATTCACTATTGCATCACAAGAGACCGATCTAGGTTCCCTCTTAAAAGCTGGTAAGCCAGTCACTTCTTGCCTTTGTCTCTCCCCGCCCTGCCCCCCATTTTGGGTAGCCAGTGTCCAAGTTGCCCATCCCTGTCTACTCTGTGTATGGAGGAGGTGGGAATGATCCTTGCTGTAAAGATGTGTTGTTCCCTCTTTTGAGCTACTACATCCATAGGTGTAGGTCAATTTCATCAACTTGTATAAGATAAGTCTTTTTGTCCTCTTCTTTCTTCTAGTTGAGCTCTGAACATCCAGTCACTGAAGCCAGGTCAAGTGGATATTATCTGAAAGTGTGGGTGTTCTTATGCATATGCCTTCTCTTCTTACCAACTGGATGCTTCACTCTCCACTCTAGTCCTTTGTGGCTATGTCATTGACTCTGGGCCCAAAAGTTCCCAGGTCTTGCCACACTGCTGGCCAACCAGGTCTCCACCCAGGTCCACAGGAGTCTATTGAACGTTGTAGGGCTTAGCTTGCAGCTTCATTGCTGTTTTTCTCTTACTTCCTCTTATCGGTGATGAACGTGGTCACCAATCAGAGCATGTATTCATTCCCCTTGAGTCTTAGTCTTAGAAGAAGGTTTGCCCTGAGGGGACCCGACCACTTGCCTTGAAGTCTCCTGGGCGAGCAACTTGCTTGTTCTTGTCATCAGTCGGTCTGTCTATATTGTTTTGTATTTTTCCTGTAGGTCTTTCTTTCAAGAAGTATCTTCTGTTCCTCTAGCCGCTCCAGGCTGATCTGTTTGTCCTTTCCAGTGGAAATTTCCCACCTCAGAAGATTCTGGATGCTGTTCAGGATTCCACTTATGCTCTTATGTAATGCAGAGGCTCCGCAGGAAGCCTCCTTCATTGAAGCATGTTGTAGTCCTCTTTTAGGTATTCCAATCCGTTATAGGCAGGAGACAGACTTACAAACTTTCTATGGCGATATTTATGGCTATTCCTTTCTCTTCCCCTCAAGTGTTTATTTTATAATAGTATGTCTGGGAAACCAAGATTCAAAAGACAGCCAAGCATCTTAACATTATTTCCCGCCTTTTCCCCATTCCAACCATGTCTCAATTCCTGTATCCCAGAACCCAGTTGTTCCAGGGTTGTGCATACATCATTATTTACCTCTGACCTACTTCAGCTTCACATTCATCCTATCGTATTTCATTTCATTGCAATGATTATAATCCCCTCCATGCATCATCAAATAACCGAAGGATACACCCCATACACCTGCCCCCTAGCTGTCAGCAAACAGCTCCTCTCCCTCCTTGAGTTCCATGTCCCCAGCCACTCCATCTGTCCATGTCATCATCTTTGTCTCCATGCCTGGCTTCACTGCCTCTCTGGGTAGGGTCATGCTCTCTGCTCTTCTCACTTGATGGTCCCATATATCATCTTTTTTAAACTATCTGGTAATATATTACATAGATTTCCTCTTCCAGGGAAACAAGGCAGGCACTTTTTCATGCTTTTGATACACACAATCAAACTACTCTCTAAAGAAGTGCCATTTAGCAAATTTTAAGTATTTCCAACATACTCAGCAATACTGAGGTATCAATTTTTCCAGTTTTGCCTATCTAACGGGAGAAAGTGGTATCCTATTTTAATTTGCATTCTTTGATTACACACATATGATTTTATCATTTTTCATGTTTATTAGTCATTTTTATTTCTTCCCTTATGAACTGCTTGTTCATTAACTGTATTAAAAACTGATTCAAGCTTTCCAGGTTGAATTTGAAAGTCGTTTATGAAGTTCTCCTCAAAAGCCACAGAAGTTTGGTTGATGCTGTGATAAAGGCATTGGGACTGCTAACCACAAAGTGATGGTGCAAATCAACTAGTCATTACACAGAAGAAAAATGAAGCTGTCTGTGCCCATCGAGATTTATATAAGGTTGCTGTTGAGTCAGAATCCACTTGACAGCAGTAGGTCTGACTCTTTGTTAAATTTCCTTATTTATTTAGGAAAAGTTAACATTTTTACAATATGGAGTATCTTCCTGTCTTTTTGTAGAAATAAACGTTGCATTTCATTGTTGTTGTTGTTGTCAGGTGCCATCGAGTCGGAACCGACTCATAGCGACCCCATGCACAGCAGAACGAAACAATGTCAGATCCTGGGCCAACCCGCACTATCGCTGCCACACTTGACGCCATCAATGATGCCACCTGGCTGATCCATGCATTTCATTAGAAGCCTTTAATCCATCTATTAAGGTTGTCACCCTTGTTCTTATCAAGTAAGTTAATACTAAACTGATCTTTAATGTGTATGAAATGGTGAGATCATTAAACCCTAAGTTAAAAGTAAACCACTCTGAGAATTCAAATATTTTTGATAAAAATTTGAAATTACTATTGTTACCCAATGAGTCTGAATACATGATGCTACAACAAGAAAATCCAACAAATATCAAGAATTAAAATATGGTAAGTGGGGACAGACCATCTGTACTGAATTCTTTCTGAAACACAATAAAAGTAAATGGAATAATGGGATAAAATGCCTAAAAACTGTTCATCTTTTTATTGCTGTTGTTAAGTGCTGTCGAGACAGTTCTGATCCATAGCAACCCTGTATAGGGTTTCCTAGGAGTGAATGGTGAGCTTGAACCACCGACCTTGCAGTTCAAATGGCTTTGGAGTCTGGCATATTAACCCACAGTGCCATACCATGCTTAGAATACTAGATAGGAGTGTTACAGTTTTTAGTTTCTATTTTCTAACTCTATAAACTTGAAAAAAAAAGAAATACACCATGACATTCCCTCAAATATTTCCCTTCATTAAAATAATTAGACTTATTATTAAATCTTCATTAAGACTACTTAGAAAATAAAACATTAGCCAAGGAATTACTCTAGCAGTGCTTATTACATATTCTTGTCAAAATATGAAAATAAAAGTAAATATCCACATAAAAAGCAGAGGTTAGATATATAATTGAACCACTGTTAAACTTAAAAACTCAACTTGTTAAAACTTATATTTAAAAGTGGTCAAGGAAAGATTTTTAGTACATGAAGAAAGTAGTACACAATTTAGTACTATAAAATCTTATTAAAGCAGAGTAAAGTAAATACCATTACTATGTCACGACAAAGCTGTTGTTCCAGTCTAAAAACGTCTGAACTGTTTTCTTAGCATGGGAGTCTTGAATCTTACCATCAAGGGATTCTGCTGCTTCGCTGACTGACTGTGCACCCCATTTGCTCTTTTCTTCTGATTAGGGGAGTCTTGATACTGTTTCCTGCCATTTCCCCTCGTATTTTGATTCTGTTTTTGAAATAAAATGAAAACATATGTGGTAACAGGACAAAAGAACCATACCTCTATGAATATGTGTAGCCAGTTAAATCAGAGTTCAGCAAAATCTCCATAGAATATTGAGGGGGGAATCCACATCATATCAATATATTTTCTTATAAAAGATTGTTATGGATTGAATTGTGTCTCACCAAAATATGCATCAACTTGACTAGACCATGATCCTTGGTATTACGTAATAAACCTGCATTCTGTGATCTAATTATCATATGTGATGTAAATCCTAATCTCTATGATCTTACTAAGGCAGGATTAATGGATGCTATGTTAATAAGGCAGAATGCAATCGACAGAACTAGGTTGTATTTTGAGTCAGTCACTTTGGAGATATAAAAGAGACTGAAGTAGTGAACAAAGATCAAACACAGTTACTACCACCAAAAAAAGAGCTGGGAGCAGAGACCATCCTTTGGACCCAGGGTCCACGTGCTGGGAAATGCTAGACCCAGGGGAAGACTGATTACAGAGCCAGCAAAGAAAGTCTTTCCCTAGAGCTGGCTCCCTAAATTGGACTTCTAGTGTACTAAACAAAGATCAGACTACTGTCTTCAATACGGATTACACTTCAATATAAAGTAAACAAAAATCCTCACAACTGGACCAATAAGCAACATCACAGTAAACAAGAGAAAAGACTGAAGTTGTCAAGGATTTCATTCAACTTGGAATTATAATCAACACTTATTGAAGCAGAAAGTCAGGAAATCAAACGTGTATTGCACTGGGCAAATCTGCAGTAAAAGATTCTTTAAGTGGTAAAAAGCAAAACTGTCACTTCGAAGACTAAGGTGCTCCTGACAAGTCATGGTATTTCAATCGCCTCCTATGTACATGAGCGCTGGTCAATGAATAAAGAAGACTAAAGAAGAACTGATGCACTGGCATAGAATACTGAATGTAGTAATGGACTGTCAGAAGAATGAACAAATCTATGTTAAAAGAAGTACAAAATGTTCCTTAGAAACAAGAATAGGGAGACTTCATCTCATGTACTTTAGACATGTTACCAAGAGCAGAGAAGGACATCTTGCTTGGTAGAGACTCAGTGACACAGTGGTAGCAACAATGGGCTCAAACATGCAGAACTGCAGAGTGTTTTGTTCTGTTCTAAGTAAGGTCACTGAAGTCACAACAGCTTCAAGGATATCTAATAGCAGCTCCTAAGATGTGATAAATACATTTCTGATTGTCAAAGCCATCCAATTGTGGTATTTCTGTAATAGTAGTACTAGATAACTAAGGCAAAGATAATGCCTCACCACAAAGCACAATTTCTCTAAAAGAATAAATTGCAAATACAATGTCCCCTAGGAAGCTTCCATCTCTCTTGCCTTGCTGTATTAATGCTTATAGATTTTGTTTATAATATATAAATGAAACAAATGAATGAGTTGTTTTTTTTAAAAAAAGTATGAAGGGAAAAACAAGTTTGAACACTTTACTTGTATGTGAAAGGAACCTCTCTGTGAAGGGAATGCTGAGACATAGTAAGTAACCACATTACTTAGAGCAGAAAACAGTGAGTCTAAAATCAGCTTTTAGATTATGAGTCAACAAATAAGTACTACTAAATAATGTTTTTTATACAAAATTATAATAAAGATTAATGTTTCAAATTTAAACCGTTATTCTTAAATTTAGAACTAAAACTAATGTTAAATCTGAAAACTGCAAGTAGTTTCATAGTAAAATAAGTCTACATTTTGACATTATACTGCTTTAAAAACTAGTTAACTTTACAATTAAAAAGGAAAAAAAATCTAAGCTTAACTAAAAACATGTAAAGTTTCTAATGTTATTTAACCCTTAAAGATCTTGAAAAGACAGCTATATAAGAGGGCTGGCTAAAAAGTATAAGTAAAATAATATTTTTATTATTATTTTAAAATATAAAAAGTTGTTGAGTTTTATATTCCACCTACCAACAGAAAAAGAAAAAAAAAGACCACTTTAAAATAGCTAACCTAAAATAAGAAATGGAAACAGAGCTTTCAGAAACTCATGTTACAACATACTTTTAATTCAAGCCAAATACCAAAGTTTCTGAAATAGTGTTATACTTTATTTCACAAGAAAAATGCACTTCCCTTATGAAACCTTTAAAAAAATAAAAATTCACCTATTAAAAACCAAACCTACTGAACTTGAGATAATTCTGATTCCCAGTGATCCTATAGACTAGAGTAGACATGGCCCATACACCTTCCTAGACTGAAAGCAGACTGTCACATCTTTCTACTGCACAGTGACTAGGACATTATTAACCGCCATGTCAGTAAACATGTCACTTAATGAATTTTTACACATAAGGTATCACCAGCACCCCAAAATATCTATTAGGTATAGTTCTAAGAGTGGATTTGCTAAATCTCTACACATACCTTTATTTATTTTGGGGTGGGCATGGATTTAATTGCTTTACTTGGTTTATCAGTGGCTCTTAATCATATGCTACCTCTTGAAATGGTTGGACATCGACCACTTCTTTTTGGTACAGTGATTGGGTACATCCCCTAAATCTTCTTTATTTTAAGTTTTTATTGTGAGTTGAGAGATAGTTTACATGGTAGAACATCAATTTTACATTCATCCTATTGTATTTCATTTCATTACAATCCCCTCCATCATGCATCATCACCATTCAACAGTACCTGCCTCTATTCCCTCTGGTTTTTTTTTTTTTTGGATGTACACCAAAACACTCAGAAATATACAATCATCCAACCAAAGGGCACACTATGCAAGTCTGCCCCCTGGCTGCCAGCACACAGCCTTCCATGAGTCTAGAGTCCTCAGCTGCTCCTTGTCTCCATGTCATCATCTCTGTCTCCATCCCTGGAACTGCTGCTTTTCTGGATAGCATACCTTTGTTCTTGAATATAAACACACTATGAATAACTGTCTCAAGAAACTCTACCAATTTATATTTCCAACAAAATATATGGCAGTTCAAGTTGCTCTATATACTTAAATAAAACTTGGTATGAGCTGTCTTTTTTATTTAAAGTATTTTATAGGGTATTATGTGTTATATATTGGGCTGTCGATCATAAGGTGAGCAAGTCAAACTCGCTAGTTCTTCTGCCACATACAAATCAAACTATCTGCTCCTGGAAACATTTACAGTCTCAGAAACCAAAAACAACACTTCTACTCTGTCCTAGAGGGTCACTATTAGTCTACATCAACTCGATGGCAATAGGTATTGAATGCATAGTCTTCCTTTTAACTTTTTTTCAAAAGTATACTTTCTTTTCTCAATAAAAACCAACAGATCTTAATTGGACCAGTATTTAACTTATGATTTTTATATTGTTGTTTTTACAGAGATTTTCCACTGTTGTTGTTGTTAAGTGCCGTCGAGTCAGTTCTGACCCATAGCGACCCTGTATAGGGTTTTCAAGGAGCAGCTGGTGAACTTGAAGCACCGACCTTGCAGTTCAAACAGTTTTGCAGTATGGCACATTAACCCACAGCACCACACCAGGACTTCCACACGGGTCCCCACCTCACCCCGACGACCAACGGACCGGCGAGATGTGACATGGCACCCTGGCTGAGGGGGTGGCAGAGTCTGGGGGAGATGGATTTTCTACTAGCACCATATAAAGCAAAATCAGATGTTAATTCCTATTATTTGTTATATTTTATATGAAAACTGTAACAGTTAAGGAATCTCAGTTAAAATCCACAAGTCAAAAACACAGGAGTCTTTGATCAATAACTTAGAACTCTATAAACTATTAATTTGCTCAGAGAGTAAAAATAAGGGAATTTCTTAATTCATCTGCCAAATGATCTCAAGATCTAAAATTTTTAATGCATATTACTCACCTTTGCTTTTAAGAAGTCAGACATATCAGTATGATTATTATATGGCTTTTGTTGAAGTGGCTGCCTGTGCTTTACCCACTGGTCACCAGGAGAACCTTCAGGAAACAACTGCTGGCTGTGGCGGAATTTGGTTCGACTGCACCAAGATGATATAAGACATAAAAATCAGATCAAGGAAAATTTCATTAGAAGTTCTTCTAACACCTTGATAATTTATCTTACATACTATTTTACCTTCTTCTTTATTGTCTTCCCTCTCCATTGGAATGTTAAGTTTCACGAGGAAAAAGGATTCTTATTTCTTTGTCTACTGCATTACCAGAGTACTGCTGTGGCGCTGCAGGATAAGGTCTGGATCACAGGTCAGTTTGAATCTCAAGGTCAGAGGTTCAAACTCACCATCCTCTCCTCAGAAACCCTATACAGGGTCACTATGAGTTGGAACCAACTCAGTGGCACTTAACAACAACAACAAGTGCTTTACCATTCACATCTATAATGAGCCTGCTGGTATTGTGTGCCATTGGGTTCTGATTCATGGCCACCCTGTATCAAGTTTCTGAGAGCTACTGCAGTGTTTGAGCTGCTAACCTGCAGTTAGCAGTCCAGTGTTTATTCGACAGCACCACAAGTCAGTTGCCCTCAAGTCAATTCTGACTTATAGTGACCTTAAGCACAACAGTACAAAGCATTGAAAGTCTTACAATCAATAAAATTTCATTGAATTAATATTTTTAAAATTTTTACTGGCTTTTTCTAAATTATCCATGCCACCTCCTCATTATAAAATATTACACTCTTCAAATATTAAGGAAAAAAATTATTTTTAATTTGGTAGTTGTTGGTTGTATGCCATAGAGTCAGCTCCGACTAATAGTGATTCTGTATACGCTTTTGAGGCTGTAAATCTTTACGGGACAAGAAAGTCTCATCTTTCACCTGTGGAAGGACTGGTAGACTCAACTATTGACCTTGCAGCTATACCAGCCCATCTCATAACCCAGTATGAAACAAATAAATGTAGGTGAATCTTCATTCTTAATGGAATAAAACTCATATTCTTATTAGAATGCTTAAAGTATGGCATGAACTTCACAGGTCAGTTACAGACCCCATTCATACTGAAAGAAGATCTGAGAAATTCTAAAGCAAAAAAAAATTAAGAATCCCAAGACAACAGGATACCACTCAGCTGTCAATTGGTCAGACCGCGGTGGCTTACAAGTTGCTGTGATACTGAAAGCTATGCCACTGGTACTTTAAATACCAGTAGGGTCACCAATGGCAGGCATGATTCAGCAGAACTTCCAAACTAAGACTGACTAGGAAGGAGAGGCAGACTACTTCTGAATGTTTACCCACTGAAAACCTTATGAATAGCAGTGGAACCGTTATCAGATAAAGTGACAAAACATAAAAACGTTGAGACTGGCACCAGAATACTGTCAGATACAGTGCTGTGGATGAGTCTCTCAGATTGGAAAGTACTCAAAATACATGTGGGAAGAGCTGCCTCCTCAAAATAGAGTTGACAATAGCACGGATAGAGAAAAGCTTTGGAGTCCTTCATTTACTGATGGGGAAAAACTCAAAATGGGGAGAAACAGCTAGAAACATTTATTCATACCCTAAAAGTGGATTGGCACATTGAAATGTACAATGTATGAATCTTAGAAAATTTGAAGTTGTCAAAAATGAAATGGAACACACAAAGATATATATCCTAGGTATTAGTTAGCTGAAATGGACTACTATTGGCCATTTTGAATCTAAAAATCATATGGTTTACTATGCCATGAAGGATCAATTGAATAGAAATGGCATGACATTCATCATCAAAATTAACGTTTCCAAGATCTAGAAGTACAATGCCACTACTATTCAAATTTATGCAGCAATCACTAAAGCCAGTGATGATGAAACTGAAGAATCCTATCAACTTCTTTAGTCTGAAATTGATCAAATATGCAATCAAGATGTATTCATAAATACTGGTCAATGGAATTGAAAGGCTGGAAACAAAGAGGTAGGAGAAGTAGTTAGAAAATATGGCTTGGTCATAGAAATGATGTTGGAGATTGCATAATGGAATTTTCCAAGACCAATGACTTTACTGCAAATACCATTTTAAAAAAACATAAAAGGCAACTAAATAAATCTATCTCAAGAGATGGAATACACAGGAATCAAACTGTCTACATCTGTCAGACGAGATAAACAAGGCCATGGGCAAACTGTAGAACAGACCATAAACTGATTATATGCAAGTTCAGCCTGATGCTGAAAAAATTTAAAGCAAGTACAAGAGAGCCAAAATACGACCCTGAACATATCCCACCTAAACTGAGAATCCCAAGATGAGATTTGATGCATTAGGCACTAATGTCTGAATACCAGGAGACCTGAGGGAACATCATACATGAAGAAAGCAAAAGGTTATTCAAAAGAGAAAAAAAAGAAAAGACCAAATTGGATATCAGAAGAGATTCTGAAATTTGCTTTCCAGTGTAGAGATGCTATCCCGAATCAAAGAATGAGGAAGTCAAAGAGCTAAAAAGAAAATTTCAAATGGTAGCTCAAGAAAACAAAATACTATAGCAACATGTGAAAAGACCGGAAGTTAGATAAACAAAAGGAAAGAACATGCTCAGCATTTCTCATGCTGGAAGAACAGAAGAATAAATTCAAGCCTCAACTTGCAATATTGAAGGATCGTATGGGCAAAATACTAAATGATTCAGAAAGCATAAAAAAAGATGGAAGGAATACACAGAGTCACAGTACCAAAAAGAAATGGTCAGTGCTCAACCATTTCAATAAGGAACATATGATCAAGAGTAAATGGTACTTGAAAAAAAAAAAAAAAAAATGGTACTGAATGAAGAAGTCCAAGGTGCACTGAAAGCACAAACAAGGGTCTGGGAATTGATGAAATACAAGTTGAAATCTTTCAATAAACTGATGCAGCATTGGAGGCACTCACTTACTTATGACAAGAAATTTGAAAGACCGTTTACCTGGCTAACTGACTGGAAGTGATCCATATTTGTACCCACTCCAAAGAGCAATGACCTAATGGAATGTGGAAATCATTGGACAATATCATCAATATTGCATGCATCCAAAATTTTGCTAAATATAATTTAAAAACAGCTTCAACAGTACATTAACAGGAAACTGTGAGGTTCAAGTCAGATTCTGAAGATGACATGGAACAAGGGATATAATTGCTAATGTCAGATGGATCTTGACTGAAGCAAAAGAATACCACAAAGATGTTTACTTATGCTTCACTGACTACTCAAATGCTTTCAATAGGTGTGAATCATGACAAGCAACAGACAACATTATGGAGTATTAGTACTCTGGAACACTTAACTGTAAATACAGTTTACTCCTATTATTAAGTTTTAAAGCTTCATGATAAAACACATGCAAACTAGAGAAAATGTATAAATTAACTCTCTGCAAACATTGTTATAGGGAATGTTCTAGCATGCTTACTACAAAAATATACTCAATAATTTTGATTTGAATACATTTAAGTTCCAATCAAGAAAATGTTATTTAGAATCCCAGCAAGATGGCAGACTAGGTAGACACACTACACAGACCCTCTACAATAAAGACATGAGACACAAAATGAAACACAGATGAACATTCTGGCACCCTGAACTTCAGAAAAATGGCTAGAGAAGTGGATGGAATGCTTGCTCTGAGGAGAGGCCATGCAGAGATGGTGAGACAGGGAGACTGACTTTTGAATGGCTGGCCAGACTCAGCTTGACCACCCTTGTGAGCAGTTTTGGCTGCGGAGTGAGGCCTGCCAAAGCAGATCAGTGTGGGTCATGGATAAGGTGCAATGTATTCTTTTCCCCTACACTCCACTAGTGATCTAAAGTACGGCCAGCTCCCACACTCACCCACCCATGCACAGAGCTTGCTCTCTGAGAGTTTGGAACCATATGGTTGCGAGCCACTCCAGTGTGTGTGTGTGGGGGGGGGGGGCACTATGGTATGCCACTTTGGTGTCTGGATTCAGGTGGATACAAAATCCACAAAGCCACCAGTCCAGGATTAAACCAGTCACACTAGCCCCAGCTTCCCTGTGGTACTAACAGACTTTGAAACAGCTCCATCGAGAAGCCTCACAAACTACTCCTGGACTGAGTGCCTTGAACATAGATAATGCCAAGGCCCAGTAGGAACTCCCATCTAGGGCCAGGAACTCTGCTGTCATGTCCCTCTTACAACTACCTCATGAGCTCCCTGAATGCAGGAGACCTCCAAAGCTTTGTCCCCTTCGGGTCCAACAATTTTATGACAGCTCCACAATGCCCCAAAGAAAACAGATGATTTTAGCTCACACAAACAAACGAGAAAGTAGCTCAGACAAACGACCAAGATGCAGAGCCAGAAGACATTTCTGAGTAAGAAAAGGTAATGGAACTAACTGAAAAATAATTCAAAAGAATGATACTTAGGTACCTTCAAAGGTTTGACAGAAAGATCAAGAAATGCAAGCAGAACACAATAAAAATTTAGAAGACTTCAGGAAAACATTATAAGAACAAACAAAATAAATACATATTTTGTAACAATATAAAACCTGTATTGTCCAGGATATTAATACTAAGATCTCAAAAACAGATAACACATTGAAAGGGAAAAGGAGTAAATGCAGTTCAAACTGACCTTGCAGTACAGCGCTACACCAGGGCTCCAGATACATTAGTTTTTAAAGTAAAACAAACCTACAAGACTCAAAATACGGAACCAGAAATATCAATGTATAATGAAGTCAACTACAAAGCAAATAAGAAGGAATAGTGTAGACACAGAACTTCCAAAATGGCAAGGAAGTCAAGCAGATTTCAAGATAAAACAGACTGC